AAGAATGGAGAATATTTCATTTACTAAATGTTTTGTTTTCATGTATATGTTGCTTGGGTTTTTTCATCTGATAAAAAAACGACATTAATTTCTTGATGACCTCACATTTAAAACTTTGGATTCAGACAAAGAACATGCTCTATTTAAATGGACAGTATTTTCAAAAGAGACAGCTAGATACTCTAATATATCGCAAAGTATTACTACAAGATACAAGAGAAATGAATCAAAACATCCAGACATTAACAAATTTTCTCTCTGAAGATATTAGTGGAAAAAATTAATAGCTTAGACAGTGACGGGGATAATACAAGAAGAAAGCAAACACAGGAGAAGTGAGTCCTAGTAAGGGATACTTGAGACAGATAGAGACAACTCCAACAGGCAGAAGGGAAGTCACCATAAGCCATGTTACAGGAATTATGGAAACGAGGAGGACAAGATAGGGAAGAATGGGAAAAATACTGAGACAAGAAGATCTCAGGATGAACACTAAAGTCAATTGAAGAGGGAAAAGATAAAACTATGGCATGAAAGCATGGAATAAAGATCATGAATAAATATGGAAAGTATAAGAAAGAGAAAGCAAGGTACAAATCTGATAAAAACAGCAAAGAGAGGAATGACATGTTCCTCAATAGTAAACAACAAGGCCATAGCAAAACCAGGCACTGGAAAGAGCTGGACAAAAACATTGATCTTATGGTTAGGCTATGGAATGGAGAATAAACAGGAGATAGAGGAACTAAGAAGGAAGGTGAAATCCATAAATGGTGAAAATTGATACTTTGTTATTATCTATAACAGAAAAATAAATTATAAATCTAAATAAAATTAAGTTTCATTTACCGGTGAAAATACAAATGTCGTTCATTACCACCTACAGCTGATGCATCACAACTCAAAAATGACTTCTGCTCTTGGGAATTCCTAGATGCCAAAAGAAGAGATTTTATTAATGGCTTATAACAACAAACTTATTTTGCTTAATGACATTTCAAGAGTGTACCAAAGCATTCATTAATATGATAAACTCTCAAAGCATCACACCTTCAACTGTTTTATGTCTTGAATCACAAAACCATAGAATACAACTGTTTATATTAATTTACACCAAATAATTTGCATTTAATAAGTAAATTACAATTTGATAGTATTTTTTTCAATAGTTATAATACATGCATGTACTACTTTATACTGAAGTCTATCAAAAATATTAAAGCTGACAGCTCTTTAAGAATGGATTTTCTGTTAATAGAAGAGCATAAACAACTACCTAAATCTTTATTACCCTGCTTTTTCTTTTTATATAAAAAAATAAATGTATCAATATAATTATCATTCTTTTACTGGGAAGAAGAGAGAATAACTCAATATAAAATAATGGCATAACCTAGTATTGAGGAAGTTTAATCAATAAAATTTATATTTTTTGAGATATAGTGCATATGTTGATATGTGATAGAATAATCAATGGTGTGGAATTTTTGAAAAAAATTATTGCTCCAGAAAAATCTACTTTTCCCCAATCCTTATCTCACATAACATACTCAAAAAAGTAAGAATATAACTTTTAAGATTTTATTTTTACTAATCAGTGAAAAGTAAAAAAAATTATAGGATTCACATATTCAGAATATGAGATAAAATGCACCGACAAATCCATTTTTTGCATAGTTTATATAAAGTTACTTTTTCAGTCAAAATGCTGCATATTCATCGATATAATACCATTGGCAGCTTGATTTCACAGGGAGGGTGTATGACACATTTTGCATCTATGCTTTATATATATATATTCATCAATATATTTTTGAATGCTTAGTTATTTTTTACACCACAAAAGATTATAAAGAAATTATGGTTTAGATTCATGTATCAAGGAACTAGAATAGTGTTTAATATATATATATGTATAATCATTTAATTATTTTTGTAAATGTAATTACTTTATATATTATTCCTAGAGCTGGCAGCCAAATGTTACTTGGCTGCTACTGTAAACAAATGCAATATAATAATGTTCTTCATCAAGTTGCATTAGTTTATATAGTTATTAGTGCATATAGTTTTGATTTGAGGTTAAAAGGTACATATTCACATGAACATTTGCTACAATTCTGTAATTAAGAATTTTCATAAACTTACGGGGCTCTTTAAAAATCGACCTGGAGTGTTTTTCTAGCAACAAGAATAACTGATGTGACAAAAACCTACTTATTCAACAGACAAACTATGATGCTAAACTTGTTGTCTTGGGCATTGGGCAACACGAATTCCACACCCCTGGCATATTTCTAACTATAAGAGATATAAGATGCTAAAATTGTAAGTGTTTTAATCCAATTCTAATTACTGGATTAAACCATTAGATGGTTGTTTAACACTCACCCTTTTGATCCCTTGAACTCTTTTGTTACAGGAAGTGGAACACTGCTTTCTACTTTTACATGACCTTGATATGGTGGATAATGAGATAACTCACTAAACATGGTTCCAAAGTTCACAAGTGGTTTCTATGAGAAACACATTACAAATGGAGCAATGATTTTGGTAAAAGCCATTTTGTTCAATATAAAATGAAACATAAATACAATTATCACTATATGCATAACTTATGATTCATGTAGAATATCCAAATGTTCATCTTTTTTTGGTAAAAGTGAATCTTCAAATTGCCAATTTTTTATTATATATCTTACTGTCAGTTGGGTCTACACATGACATCATATTGAAAAATGTAATGTTTTTGTCTGATATAATGATCAGTGTAAAGAAATAATAGAAGAAATTGGGTGAAATCATTCATTCTCCATTTAAAAAAGAAAAACAAAATTAGTGATTTTACAAAGTGGAATTAATTGCAATATTAACTGTAATTTTGTCCAGACTGTAAACAACAAAATCATGAACCCTAAAGCAATTTAGTGCCTACATTGTTTCGAAAAATCTAGACTCTGTCAGTAATTCTATGGTTTACAAACAAAAATTCTCCTTAATGAATTAAATTCCAAATAGATTTAAAAGCTGAACTTTTATTATACTCAAAATAAAATACATACTGATTCACACAAACTTAAAATCCTAGTTATTTAAAAGGCTTAAAATATTTAATTACTTATTCCTTCAAGACTAAGACTAAATATGAAATTTTATTTATAATTATAATGTTATATTTATTAATACCTGTTAGAACATAGAGCTGTAGAAATAAGTGTAGTTATCACAGAATGGTCTGAAAACTGACAACATTAGGTAATTTTTTATGAGTTTATCATTATCAAATTATTTTGATTCCCACAAAAATTCACCATTAATTCAGTAGCTTAAACATACTACTTGATTAAATTGACATCTGTCAAGGAAAGTTATTTTTTAAATAGATGGCTTCTACTGTACAAGTATTAAAACCATAAAAATTAGAACAAAAAAAAATATACTGACATTTATAAAATTAGCTTAATCCTTTTTAACTCAACCTAAACATAAGCTAAGCTAGTATCTTGTAAAGAGCTTTTAAAAGGAGTATAATATTTAATTCCACAATGGCAAATACAATTTTCAAGATATAAAGAATATATGTTTAATAGTTTCCATAAAATTGAAAGTTTGGAAACTGCAATTTTATAACAAATTAACTGATTTCTGAAGAAAAAAAAAGAGAAACTTTTGACCTTACATGAAAACAAGGTTTCTATAGTAAAAATGTCAAGTTATATTTCCTGCAGGGATTGATTTTCATATTGAAAATCTTGGGGTTTCAGGCTTGTTAACTTAGAAGTCCACATAATAATCTAGAAATATTCCAAACTATTGCAATTTGTTTGGATAATCTACTAATTTACAAAATATATTCACTATCAAAGCACCATATATATTACGGCAAAATTTTCAAACTGGAACACTCAAATGTTGCATAAGTATTTTATTACATAATACTACATTCCATACAATAGTTATACAACATATTGATCAATATATAAAACATCTTGTAAAAAATGTACCTTCACTAAGCAAGTTGTATGCGTAAAGTTTGACTTACTGTTAACTCACTACAGTGATGAGAAAAGGACAACTCATACACCATAACCATATTTTTATACTGAAATTTATACACACCAGTGAATCTATAATTAGCAAAAATCTATGTGGGTGATTTAATCCTTATTGTTTGTACCGTTACATTTTTGAAAATTGATGAAAATATTTTTTTTATTTAGCTCACAATAAGAACTTTCTAAGGTATTAAAATAAATCTAACCTTAAGAGCACTCTTAAGGTTAAAAAGTATAAACATTATGGAGAGAATGAAAAGTAACAAAAATGAAACAAATTTAATTCACAAAACCTAAAAGTATGAAAAGCATCATGGATTACTAAGTATATGAATTATAAAATCACTATGAAACACTTTAAAGAAATACTTAGTGAAGTTTGCCTCCATTAAAAAAACAAAAGAGACCCCATACATGAAATACTTATATAAATTTTAATTATTAGCTTCATTAACTTTAACAGTTATATGAAAATGAATAATGGTTATATAATTTATTAAACAGGATATAACTTAATGAATGAAAAATATGTACCAAATAAATGACAGCTGAATTTGAAATAACATCAAAATATAACTTGTAACTATGAATGCCTGAGACTACTGAATTCCATATTCTACTATATATTTAAATTCAAACTCATGGAAGTTAATAGCAAAGTTTAAATAATTACTTTTTTCTTAATTCTTGAACTGATAGCCAAAGCTGATTTTTCTTAATCAGTTTTGTAGCAGTCAAGTCATACATAAACATACGGTGCAATTTACCCCTTAAATAAAATGTTAGTAATGATGAGATTTACATGTATATTTACATGTATATGTACATGTAAATATGTATACCACAATAAGCTTTTAGACTTACCACACTCATCTGTGCAGAGAATGCTTTTTCTGAAGCTTTTACATGGTCTCTCTGACTTGAGACTGTATACAAGGGATCTATAAAGATGTAATCAAGTTTAAAAAGTGTTTTCAAGCAAATAAGAAATTGTCAGTAAATGCTCATAATCCTCAGATACTAACATATTGTTATGATCAAAGACTTTCAGTTAAATTTCTTTTTATTCCAAAATATACTACTTTCACATAATGTACATTTTATTATTGGGTACTATTCTTTGTTAGTTTTAACAGATTTAGATTTGTTGTAAGATAAACTATGGTGTTATTTAAACCTTACATAATAAGCAAAGTAGGTTTTCCAACGTTGTTTTATTGTTTGAAATTGCCCTAAATAACCTATGTTGTCTGATGCCATGGTTTCACTGGTATATTTTTCAAAGGAGTGGTTTATAATGGCAGAAACATAAAAAAAAAAAACCTGTACATTGTAGTGCTTAGTAGGCAACTTTTCCAGATACAACTTGTGTACGCATCACTGTAATATTTAGTCTTCATTATTTTAATTATAACATTTAATTTCACTAGATCTGTTACTTCCAATCCATTCTTGTGTGCGGATAATATTTTATGGTATTACTTCAACTGTTCAGCTCTTTAATTCACACTTCCTTTTTGTTTTTAACATTAAGAAAATGATTCATTGTCATCACTATACAGTAATTAAAATTCAGATTTACAAATTTTGATTCATAACTTCTCATTCTATCTAAAGTTCTAGGGATGTTTATATAAAAAATTGTCTACAAGGAATGTTCAAGATTCAAATATATTAAAAATCAAATTTTTGACATTTAAGTTGTGTAGTTTTATAACTTTTAACTAATTAACTATGTCCTAAGAAAATGTTCCATTGTTTAGAGCACAAAATTAGCCAGCTATACAAGTCAGATAGTTTCAAGGCCTTTAAAAAAAATGTTTATTCTAATACTCTTTGCTATAATGAAATATTCAGCATTTAGTTTAGTTAAGAATTATTGCTTTCTTTTATTTAGATTATAAAATTATTCATATTAAATACCTCACATGTAAGAAATTAAATATTATTATTAAAACATAATTTGCTAATATCACAAGAAGGCATATAGGTTTGTTTTATTACAATTTAGCCATAAATATCAGGATTCATTGAAATTGCATCATTTTAATTTATTAAAAATGAATATAAATCTAACATTCTGATGTAAGATTTCAACACAATATGAGGTTAACAGCAGTTTTACTGATAATAGCTTTAGGCTTACATTGTCTGAGTATTTTTATGTACATTTTTTCACTTTATTCTAATTTCTATATCTTTATTACTTGTATAAATTGAAAAAAAAAATACATGCAAAAAATATTTTGTAACTTATGAAGATAAAAGTGTTATGTCACAAGATATTCTCACTCACCAAGCTCAAGTCCTACTTTCAAAGATTTAATAAGTTAATTAAACATGCTTTACTCATTATTATATTAATAAATTAATACTAACATATTAGCATGTTTTATTTTTAATTTTATCAGTAAATAACATTGAAATAACTTATTTTTTTAATATGCTAATTACATAACAATTGTAAATCATTCATCTGCTTTTCAAATTTGAAGTAATAACTTATTCTTAATTCTAGGGCTCTAACTGAGCTTGAGGATCTAGTGAGGAACCCCACCGTTACTCGTTGACATGTTACTACAGTGTTAGGTCTGACGTACCATATATATAATCATGAACTCTTGATTCCTGGATAAAATTTTTAGTTTTACCAACAGTTGTTTCAGTCGTCTTATTTTCTGACATTATGGTAATTAAAAATACAATTTGAAAATAAAAACTGAGTATCATAAACTAAAACCTAATTAATTTTATCTAAAGGTACAGAACATAAAACTCAAGCAAAAGTTTATATTAATTTAAACTTTCATTCTTTCACGAAACATGGTGCGATTGTGTATTACACGTTGCTATAGTAACCGTAATAGTGACACAATCACCAATAGAGTGCAGTTTATTTGCTTTATAGCACAAACCCACACATTAGGACTATCTGCGCTCTAGCCATCGTGAGGAAATGAAGTTTTTTTTTTAGATGATTTCTTGAAAAATTATTGCTTAAAACTGATTATTAGAAATTTAGTTTATGCGTTATGCTAAATAAACAAAACACAAACAAATAGGTATTGTGGATAAAATAGTCCAACTTCAAAACTGTTTTTGAATGTATGTGTGTTTAAATATCTAAATGGCAGTACAGTGCTCATCATAATACCAATAAAAGAAAAAGAGGGAAAAACTTACTAGGAATGGTTCTGGGAGTAGTAGATAGGTTAACCTGTCTGAAGTTTTATCATAAAAACATAAATTTGTTGGCACTTATGAGATACTTCATGCTATCATATTTAACAACCAGAAATATATAATTCGAAATATTTCGCTTAAAAAACTTTTCACCTGAAAATCATTATTTTGATAAACTGTATTGAATATGTTTAAAAAAAATGTGGACTTTCCTATAAAATGCTGGTATAACAAGGGTCAGCATCAAACTATCGAAATATCACTTTTTAAGCTATTAAAATATGTTGTCTTACTCGTGCAAAGTTGCACAATGAGCTATTTGCGTTCTGTCTATTGCAGGGAATCGAACCGCGGATTTTAGAGTTGGAAGTCAGTAAAGTTACCGCTGACCCACCGGGGGGCGTTACTGTAAGACAGTAGAGAAAATAAATTAACGAATTAATGAATTAAATTCTTGCTAATATTATATCACTTTGTTGAGTTAATTTGAAACACATATAAGAAAACTAACAAACTTATAAGTTAAAATATTGGTTGAAAGATTTAAAATAAACAAGAGAACAACAGCAATGCGTATATTTATTAATTTTATTCTCATGCTAAAAGTCTTTTCAAAAGCACTTCTCTGTTACATAGTTCAAAATTACCCAGCTAGTTTTGAAGAAGAAGCAGTCAGCAATTAAGTTAAATAATTAACACAGATATTTAAACATCAGAACTTGACCCGTTTCTTTTTTTAAAATGAAGTTTTAGAAACCTTTTAGATGAGAATATTTAATTATTCGTTTGTTTGTTTGGAATTAAGCACAATGTTACACAATGGA